ACATTTGCCATCAACCTTTTTATACACATTGGTTGGTAGGTACTTGCGTTTGTTGTTGTCTTTTTGTATGTATAATAGTTTTTTAACCCTTTGTTTGTGAATGTTGTATGACATATCCATGTTTGCAGAAGGACCCATTACACTGTAATGCATCTAGTATCACCCATTCGCAAGTGGATTAATGTGCTCATTTGCAAACTGTTGTTGCTCGCTATATGTGTTGCTCGCTATATGTGTTATATGTGCTCGCTATATGTGTTGCAAGCCATATTTGCTATAATGTTTCTAAGCATATTCTGTTGGTGGGTTATCATCCCCTTTACTTGTCCACTATCGCATTTGCTAATAACTCCACTCCTTATTTCCTTCAAGCTTCTCTTTTTTTTTTGTAGATTCGGGGACTAACTGACATGAACAATACAAGCTCAATATTATTTGTATCGTTCTTTCAGGGGATTGACTTATTCATCAGGAGCTTTCTCTTTCTTTATTTGTAGGCATGAAACACTTATTGCATGTTGTAGGTGGATAATCATACATGTTGTGTGTGGATATTCATGCATATGAAAATCTTCTACCATTACTTATGGGTACTCTTACAATTGTTCCTTGATATTCATGATTGTAATAGATTCGTCATTCTTGCTCGCATATATACCATAAGATATTTCTACACTTCCTTTTATGGGTTATCATTATTTGTAGATAGTCCAATATACTCATAAGCTGGTTGATGTTAAGCGTAGGAAAGATGTTATATTCATTATCAGCCTCCTGGTACACAATGATCAACAAACTGTTGCATATGCTTGTAATTGCCCCAAGTAGTTTAATTACTTGTCACTAGTGTGCAGCATAGTTTTATTCCACATGAGTCTTACACTTGTTTGTTGATATGCATTTGATTGATTAAAGCCATCACTTGATTTTAGCATTTTATCTTCAATCATGTATTTAATGACCTTGAAGTTCAATCCCTTGTAGTATGACCTTAGTTGATTGTACCAAGTGCACAAGTCCCATATTGTTCTTTGAGTTCAATCAAGTTCACTTGCATGTTCAAATTCAAGTTCTCTGCGGTCCAAGAATGATTCAAGTCCCCTGTTGTTCAATTCAAGTCAAAGTTTCTTATACTTGTTCTCTTGAATTCAATCAAATTCTCTTATATTTTTCAAGTTCATTTTAAGCTTGAGCTCAAGTACTGCATGATTGTTCAAATCAAGTTCTAATTCGTGTCCTTGTAGTCTTTTTCGGTTCAAGTTCTTTGCACCAAGTTCTTTGTCATTTGAGTTCAAATTTGAGTTTATGTTATTGTCCAAACATTGTCCAAAGTCCTTGGATCTTCGATCCAAAATTCGGCAGCCTCCCGGCGTCTCCCCCATTTAGGGAAAAAAACCAAGAGGCAATCTTCCCCTCGACGCTACGTGAGCGCTTCAGGTAGGTGTCAAAAATGACACCGCGGTCACATTTTGTATTTTTTTATCCCCGCCCGCTACGTGAGCGTTTAAGAGTTTTTTTTTGTTTTAAGAAGAAAACTCGTTAGAAATAAGCACGAATTTCCCCCCTCTGCACCACATGGGCGTTCGGGGGTACTTATATAAAAATAAAGAAGGAAACAAAAACACACATTTTTTTTATCCCCTTCGCCGCAAGCGCCGCGCCGGTTTTCCTCCCTACAACTCTACTTGAGCGCCTCGAGGGTTTGCCGGCTCGTCGCTAGCATTGAAGAGGGATCCTTAAATCGTCACAAGCATCGCACTCGTTTCCCACCCTACAACGCTTCGTGAGCGCCTCGGGGGTTTGCCGGCTTGTTGCAAGCATCGAGAAAAAAACCATTTCTTTTTTTTTTAATTAGTGATAAATTAAATATAATTAGTTATATTTAAACTATAACTAATTACATTTAACTTAAAAGTAATTACAAATATAATTTATAATTAATTAAAAATTAATTATAATTAATTACATTTATTATATAATTAATTATACTTAAATTAAGATTAATTATAAATTAATCATATTTAACCTATAATTAATTATAAATTAATTACAATTAGTTATATTTAATATATAACTAATTATATTTTAATTTAGTATTAATTATAAATTAAATAAATTTAATTTGAGATTAATTATAAACTAATTATAAATAATCTCAAATAAAAGAATAATTATACTAATAAAGCAAAATTAAATACCTAATCAACTAAGGGTTGGGTAGTAAAGAGGGTTGGCTGAGTGAACTCAGTGAGTCGGGATGAGTTCAGTGAGGTGAGTGAGCTGGCTAGGCTTAAGTGGGATGAGTGGACTGAGTCAGGCTGAGTTGGGCTTAGTGGCTGAGTTGGTTTGAGTGGATGAGTTGAGTGAGTTAGTGTTATATTTTAAGTGGAGTTAGGGCTCGGGTATGAGAGGAGATCGGGTAAGGCTTAAGAGGGGGAGGTGAGCTCTCTGAACGGGATTGAATGGAGAGGAGGCGGGTTCGGCTATGGAGGAGCACGGTTGGTAAGTCCTCCCTCTCTCTCTCTCTCTCTCTCTCTCTCTCTCTCTCTCTCTCTCTCTCTCTCTCTCTCT